TTTTTTTTTTGACACAGGGTCTCACTACGTAGACCAGGCCCTGAGCTCATAGATATCCAGCTGTTTCTACCTAAGTGCTGGAATGAAAGCTGTATACTACCACACCTGGCTCCAAGACCCTCTTAGTCAAACTAAGGCAGTTGAGCTTCTTTCCCTTGGAAGCATCTTAGACTACCTTATCATGTTCACACAGAGCAGTGGTTCTCAATTTTCTTAATGCTGTGACCCTTTAATATATGCTGTGGTGACCCCCAACCATGGGATTATTTCTGTTGTTATACTGCACAACTGTACTTTTGCTACTGTTATGAACTGTAATGTAAATATCTGATCTATAGGATATCTGATATGCAACCTCTGTGAAAAGATCATTTGACTCCAAAGGGGTCATGACCCACAGGTTGAGAACCCCTGACATAGATGCTTCACTTTTGACACATTTTAATGAATCCTGACACAATTATAACCAGCACAATCAAAATTCAGAACATTACTATTAACCTTAGGAGCTCCCTATACTCTTCCCAGGCAGATAACAACCTTTCTCAACTTCTGGTCCTCCACAATTGTTTATCTGCTCATCATTACAGACAAGTTGTGTTCTCTTCCATAGTTTCATAAGACAGATTCATACAGGTTTTTTTGATCTTCCCTTGCTTCTCTTTCTTGGAGTAATAGTCACCAACAGGTAAAGAAGTAAATGGCTAGACAAATTGAAGTCTATCCATACTCATGATAAAAGAATGAACTATGATGATGTGTGCTCAGCCAGCCCAAGATGGGTTGCCTCAGATCAGCAGCCGAGGGACCCTTTCAACATTCATCCCAGAGGATCAAACAGTTCCTTAGACTCAGTTATTACTGTTCTATGAGCTCATCAACGGTGATGGGGTCACTTCTCAGCCGGGGTCAGAATACGTCTAAACAACCACACTAAATTCAAACGGCATTATACAACAGCAAGGCAACAGACACACATCTTTAAGTACTTGAATTGGTAATACTTCCCAGTTTTTAAAGTTAGTCCTACCCCCGTTAAAAACCTTATGCTAAAAATAGTTTTTACTTTTACTGATTTACTTTGAGAAAGGCTTCTCTAAGCAGACCTAGCTGTCTTGGACTTCAGTGTGTACATCAGGCTGTCATCGAACTCCCAGAGAGCTGCCTGCCTCTGTCTCCCTAGTGCTGGAACTAAAAGAGTGTGCTACCATGTTTAACTAAAATTGTTTTTAAAAAAAATCTTGTCCCTACTTTTCTGAGAAACAAATAAGATCTAGGGCTTTAACTATAAATGATCACATGCAGAGTTAGTTCTCCAGAGATTTTACCTTTCAAAATGAAGCTCCTCCTGCAAGCACTAGGGGGGCTGGAGAGATGGCTCAGAGGTTAAGAGCACTGACTGCTCTTCAAGAGGACCTGGGTTTGATGCCCAGCACCTACATGACAGTTCTCAATGGTCTGTAACTCCAGTTCCCTCCAGTTCCAGGGGATCCTACACCCTCTTCTGACCTCCATGGGACCAGGCACATATGTAGTGCACAGACACACATGCAGGCAAAACATTCATATACATAAAATAATAAAAATTAAAAAATTAAAAAAGTAATAGAACCAGTGCACACCTCTAATCCCAGCACTTGAGGGAGGGGGAGGGGGATCTCTATGAGTTTGAGGCCAATCTGGTCTACACACTGAGATCCAGGCCAGCCAGATGAGACCCTGTCTCAAGAAATAAACAAAAGCAATACAAAGCTAGGCATGGTGGAGAATGTCTATAATCTCAGCAAGGAGGAGGCTGAGGCAGGTGGTTCTGAGTTCAAGACCAGCCTGGGCTACATGGCAAGTTGCAGGATATCCTGGTCTAATTAGCGAGCTCTTGTCTCACAAAACAACACAAAAGCAATAGATGAGATACTTCTTTGAAGAAAATTCTTCAACACTCACCAGAGTTCCTTTGGTTGACATATTTAGATTTTTCAGTTCATTTATCCTATTCCTCCATAGACTTACTAGCTGTTGAACAGAATTTAGCTGAAGAGAGAAGACAAAAAATAACTCAGTATTGAATACTTACCCCTGCTCCTGTTTGCCAGAGCTACCCCAGCTCTAGCTGCCTCTCTCTGTTCACTAACTCCCTGGCTCTCAGGGGTGATCACCTGGCAGTGCAGGAATGATGCTATCTGGACAGGAGGGGAGTGATGTGTGCTAGCATAGTTCTGGCTGTAGACAACAGAGATGATCATTTCCTCCAGATACCCAACTTATGCTCCTGACCCACCCATTCAGACCTTTCTTTTGAATGTCTGGTATTCAAAAGTGTTATCTATTTAGCAGAACTGCTGTTTATGTCACTTTGTTTTTCTAGTAAAAATCATGGGACTCGCACCTAACAGAAGCAATAATATTTTTCAAAAGACAGATGGTTTGAGTTCTAGGACTGGTTGATGGGTAATTTATAATAAAAAAAATAATATCCCTAATCGCTATAGTACATCATTATCAGTCTAGACAACTAAACAATTTCAAAGAGTCTAAAAATAAAAATAAAACAGGCATTGTTCTTCAAACAATTAACAGCCCTCACCAAATGTGCCCCAACACAAGCCAGCCACTGCAAACACCAAAACAATAACTGATAGCCAAGTGCTACTGAGGTAGAGGAACAGGAAACAAACTTACATAGCTCTGTAAGTTATTGCTGGTTAAGAAGTTTTGGTATTCAAGCCTCAACTCTTCTGGTGAAATGTCTGTGAAACCTGAAGTGAGGAATCAGTTGGAATTTAAACAGTAGGTATTGCTGATTCTGGTAGTAGGGCTGCGTGCTAGACAAGAAAATGTGCTAATGCTGGTTATCAGAAAAACTTCAAGGTCATAGGAGAACAATTCAAAGCCCAGATACTAATGCTTAAATTATTAAATTAGAAGAAAATACAGCTATTTCATCTTTGAATGAAGAAGAATTCTGTAAATATAAAGGGTGAAAGGAAAATGGAAGATCTGACTACACATTCAAACTCTAGTCTAAAAAATGCTGTTAAGTCAATAATAAACAGATTTAAAAGGCAAACGATAAATCAGGAAGACCACAATTGCATACACAAGAGTTAACGTCTTTATTACTATTCATAAGTCAGTACAGAATATGGCAAAGACAGGAAGTACAAGCAGTTCGCTAGAACTTCAAAAGGCTAGTAAATAAAGAAAATTTACAAATGTAACTTAGTGATATAATGCTCTCCTTACAGACTGGCAAACATAAGAACAAATGATCATTACTGTTACTCTGTGTGTGGTATAAGATGCTGTTTTGAACATGCTATGGAATGTTCTGAGGCAAACTGTCCATAAGCCATGTTCACAGACTCTGACCTACAATTCTAGGATTTAACTTCAGATACCTATAGTTATGCATCTATGCAGACAAAGGACGCTACACAAAAGGATGCTTGTTCTCGTACTTTCATTGATAAATTAAATGTAGGATACCAGGGGTTAGGAAATAAAGCTCAGTGGTAGGATGTTTGCCTGGCATGAATGAGATCTTGGGGTCAGACTGAAAAAAAGCAAGCCCAAAGAAAACAAAACTAGATGATCACTTTATATAGATAGAGAGAAATATATGAATACATAAATGATGTGGAGTATGGATGTTTTGCCTGCATGAATACATGTGCACCACGTGTGTGCACAGTGTCAGGTCCTCTGGAACTGGAGTTATAGACAGTTGTGGGCCGCCATTTGGATGCTAGAAATTGATCCCAGGTCCTCTGGAAGATCAGATAGTGCTCTTAATATGCATATATTTTAAAGGAAATACCAAAAAAAGTTTCCATTTCTCTATACTACTTAGCAATTTTTACTGTCCACAGCAATGATGTACCTTTCAGCACTGAGAAGACTAAGAAAGGAAATGTTGCTATTTTCTACAGACTTCCTTGGAACCCCGCTACCATTTAGTTTACTCCAGTGGCACCGACAGTCCAGGGCAAAAAGCATTCAGGAATCATACTAGATTTGTTTTTCTGTACCTAAAATATCAAAATTTGATTCAAAACAGAACTCATATTTGACCAATTTTGTCTCCACTGCCAACAGCTCTAACTCATCATCAGCAATCACTTCCTAACTTGCCTCCCTGCCTCTCAACCTGCTCCTGGTCCCAATGGCTCATTTCCCCTCCTGTACCACTGAGTGAGCTTTTTAAAATCAGCCTACATCCTTCTGCTTAAGCGCTTCATATCTGTACACCCAATGTAACTAGACTCATACCAGGTGGACCTTGGCTACTGCCCTGGCTTTATGCTATATTATTTCTGTTAGTTTCTTTCCTCAGTGATTTGGACTCATGGCTCTGACCTCAAGGCCTTTGCACTAGCTATCATAATTGCTAGGAATGGTTTCCCCAATCTTCTACAACAGATACCTTCTCTTTACTCAGGGCTTAGCTCTAACAGTGTTTCATAAGAATGAACAACAGCTCTCCTTCAAGGACACTGTCCGTCTCAATTACTCTGTATTCTTTCAAGGGGTGATCAACCAGAGTTTCTTATCTGAATCACAGAACACAGAAAATTACGTGCATAACTATTTTCTCAGGTTTTGGAAGGGTGCTGTCAACTTGACACTCTTGGAAAGAGCCTCAGTTGAGGATGGGCCTGTGAGCATGTCTGTGGGGCATTTTCTTCATTACTAATTGATTCATGAGGGCTGAGGGCCCAGCTCATATGGGTAATGCCATCCCTAGGCAGTTAGACCTGGGCTGTGTGAAAAAGTTAGCTGAGCAAGCCTGGGGAAGCAAGCCAGTGAACAGTGTTTCTCCGTGGTTTCTTCTACAAGCTCTACTTGCCTTTAGTTCCTGTCCTGGCTTCCCTCAATGATGGACTATTAACCTGTAAGCCAGACAAAAACCTTTCTTCTCCAAGTTGCTTTAGGGTCACGGTGTTTATCACAACAACAGAAAAGCAAACAAGGACATGGTACAAAAGAAATATTCTAGCTACAGAGGCAAAATTAGCTCTTCATAATGAACCATGCATATATCCACATACATTTATTTTCCAAAACAAAAAAATAAGATTAGTGAGATGAACAGCAAAAATCTGTCTACAGATCTCATTAACATTTGGCTTAACAAACTGCTAGATTTTCTAAAAAATATATTACTTTTAATTATGCGTATGTATGTGCATCTGTTCTGGAGTAGTGACGTGTAAGTGCAGATGTCTGTAGAAGTCAGAATGTGGCATTATTCTGTCCTGGAGCTAGTTACAGGACAGCTGTGAGCTGGCCAACATGGGTGCTGGAAACTGAACTCACATGTTCTACGAGAGCGGTACACACTCTTAAATGCTGAATGGCATCTCGCCAGCCCTGACTACTGGATTCCTGCATGTGCTTCTGCATGTTTGTGCATTCACTCCACTGCAGTGTGGTTGTTGCGCAAAAACTACATTCCACAGATACGTCACTGGAAAGAGAAGTCAATGGCCTTTCCAGATAAATGTGGATATTCTTCTTTGACAATGCACCAATACTGGAAAAGTGGAGTGCAAGGGTTTTGTGTTTTGTTTTTCGAGACAAGATTTCGCTATGTAGCTCTAGCTGTCTTAGAACTCACTATGTAGACCAGGCTGGCCTTGAACTCACAGAGACTTGCTTGCCTCTGTCTCTCAAAGAGTTGGGATTTTTTTTTTTTTAAATGTGTGTGCCACTATGCCCAGACAAATGGGAGTTTTTTTGTTTTTTTTTTTAAACTTCAAACATTTGAAAAGCATATCAGATGTATTTCAGAAACAACTTCATTAGAAAATTCCACATTGAGAAAAGATGTTTGGCTACAACAGAAACACACACATACACACATACATGCGCGTGCGCATCTATCCAGCAACATCATAGTATGGACTTGTCTGACTCCTCCTGCATACCTCACAGAGCTGTACTCTTTCATGATATACCATTGCTACTTGGTTAACATGAGATTTAAGGCTTCAACTGACACACCTGGATTCATTCAATAGGAAACCAATGAAAGAATGGAGAAAAAAAACAGGCAAAAAATCAATTAAACTAGAAACTCTTCCTAAGTGGGAGGTTTTTAAAGGTCAGTTATAAAGCAAACTCAAAAGCTAATCGACCTTTTGTGTTGTTGTGTTATAATTCATTAGTTTATCTTGGACTCAGAATAGATTTCAGTCAGCATGATTCTGTAACATAACACTTCAGTCTTGAATATTAGTTAAGATGTCCTACAGAATTTCCATACATTGACACAGGGCATTCTAGAACACCTAAAGAAAAAACCAAATCAACCCTGAAATCCTCACATATTAATGTGTCCTATTCTAGAAGAGACTTTGAGTATCGAGAAGCTACTGTGTTTGTGTGACAGAAAGGTTTATCGTGACTAACTTTTCCTAGAAACTTTCAGTTTTATTATCAGCAATAACCCTGCCACCAGCCCACCACCCCTTGAGATGACACAGGTTTATCTCATTCACTGTTCAGAAAATACCTGCCAAGGCTAAGTCTGAATAACCACAGTTGTTATTCGGTCTAATAAAGTCTGCCTGTGGCCAAGTCACACGATAACCCAAGTGCTCTCCCTCAAAGTGAACATCATATGCCGGTACAGGGCAAAGCATGGTTTATATGTACCTCCCATTTGCCTGAGACAATATTTAAAATGCATATTCAATGGTTAAGAGGTTTCAAAAGTTAGTAATTTTTATTTCATTAGATAGGGATAATTTTGCCCCCTCTAAAGTTAGAATGACATTCCAGATTCTTCTTTACATGACTGTTATAGTCTACCAGCAGTTTGCTGCTTCTGCCTTAGCTGATGTTAAATCCATCAGTTTTATTCAACAACGCTTTTGTACTGATAGTACAAATTTCAACACTGAAGGTGGACATCAGTATCTTAGTATTATTCTGAAAACTTTTATGAACATATATAGTTCCTACAGACATGTCAGGGATAGGTTGCTAGATTTAGCTAACAAAAATCTGAGATGTCTAGGTAAACTGAAATTTCAGACATAAAATAACTATTTTATTAATTATGTCCCAGATATTACACAGGATGCACATATATTGAAAATATTCTTTGCTATCTGAAATTTAAATTTAACTGAATGTCCTATATAATTTAGCATGGTAACTCCACCTAGAGCTCTCTACAGTCTATGTTTTGAGAACCACAGCTGTAGGACATTAGGGTTCAGGTCCACCCCTGAACTAACTAAGATTTAATACTTGGCAATACTTAAGTGCTAATATTTAAGCCAACCTAGGGCTTCCTAGTTTATTCTTTTGTTTACAGAAATTATCACTACCTTAAGTGATCTATTTTCACTGTTTCTCATTTTCTTTCCTCCAGAACAGAAGCTTCCTGAGAGGAACCCTGCCTGCTCACCTTATGATGCGTCCCTGGCATGCACATCAGGGATCCCTGTCTTCTCACCTTATGATGTGTCCCTGGCATGCACATCAGGGATCCCTGCCTGCTCACCTTATGATGCGTCCCTGGCATGCACATCAGGGAGTAGGACAAATCAAACTCAGTAATTAATATTTAAATGAATAAGAAAGTAATTAGGCGAGAACGAGGTGAGGGGTGAGGTACAGTGGCATTCCTAGAATTCTGGGACACTAACTTCAAGGGCTCCGGCCTAAGCCATGTCTGTAGTTTCCTCAAGAGGATAAAGACTCAACGTCTCCCAGAGCAGGCTTGGAAAAACTCAGTAGCCCAAGTTTCAGAGAGGCCGTAGGGATCACATTCTAAAGGAACACCGCACCTGTAGTTCCTCATCTTCAAACAGGAGAGTCTTACAGGCTTTATGAAAAGTAAGTATTCTTGGAAGCGACCAAAGAATAATGGAACCAGGCCCCAAAGGCTGTAATGGCGGCAGCTTGTGACCCTGCTGGTTGCTGAGGTGGCTAGGAGCTTCTGTGGTTTTGATACAGCAGAGCTTCTTCCTCCATTGACAGAATTGGAATTGTGGTGGGCCCTGATATTACTATTCTTTCTTGAAAATAACACAACTGAAAAGAACTACATTCTCCACTCTCAGTCTCTGAATGATGAAGTTCAGTTGGAATACTTTAAACAAAGACCAAATTCTAGCTATTCCTAAGTTTGGAATAAATACATTTAGCATGGTCTCAGTTTTAGAAAGAACTTTAGAATCTATTTTATATACACATACATATATAAGTACAGGCTGGGTCCATAGCCTAGTGGTAGGGCTTTGCCTAGCATGTATGAAGGCCTGGGTTCAATCCTCAGCACTGAACAAAAACCAACCAACCAACAATCCAACCAAACGTGTTCCCTAGTTACCTGAGATGTTAGGTTTCTTTTTCACTGGTGAGTAAACAGAAAACATCCACTGCCCCGATGATTCCCAAATCTCTACATCTTTAACAATTCCTTCCCTGGAAAAAAAGAGAAAGAAAATGAAAATAAATAAAAATGGAAGAGTAATGGATATTTTCATTTGCTTGTTAAAATTTGTTATTTATGAAGTTGAATATTAAAAATTAAAATTCTAGTAAATAAATATATACATTTACATATTTTTCATTCTATTTTCTACACCAGAAGCTCACAGAAATACAAATTACAACTTGAGTGTGGTGGACACAGCTGTAATTCCAACACCAGGATGGCTGAGGATTTTGAGGCCAGGTAGGTAAGACATCGAGTTTAAAGCCAGTCTGGGCTGCACATCGAGAACTTGTTTCCAAAAACAGCAAACACCTTCTATTTTGTAGTTACAAATAATCTAGAATAATTAATAGTGTAGGCATTCTAATTAACAGAAAGACTAATCAAT